TGGAGAGAGAAAAAAGAAGATGAAAAAAAAAAACAACCCCAAACAAATCCCCAATGATACGATGATGTCATTTTTCACAGCATCACCAACTGAGGAAACCAATTTTAAAATCTTCTTCCAATGTTAAAATGAAAACAGAAGCGAAAAGCAAAGTTTGTGCTGTTTGTGCACATGTATTCGGTCGTGTGCGCGCACTTCTGTCTGTTTATTGATGCTATGAATTCTTTGTGCTGCCCTGTGCTTTTGTTTTGTGCTGATGGGGGTCGATCTCCACCAGTTCTGACTGTATGGTGTTAATGTGTGCCTGTTGCAGTGCGTGCGCGTGTTTTCACAGGAGCAACACAATTCAGACTCGGCAGAAATCTTCTTCTCTTTTCTCTTTCTCATCTTGCGCTCTTCTTGCTCTTCTTACTGCCATTGTTTCCCCATCCTCCTTTACTGCCCTGCCTTCTGAACGAGGGCACGGGGAAGTTCTATCTGCACTTTTTGAAAATGTAATAACAATAATAATGACGATGATAGTTTTGATGATGATTATAGTTCTGGTGAAAATTAAGGGAGGAGTATCTGAAAGGGTGAGCAGCAGTTAGGGAGAGGAGACGTCTGCTTTGTGATTTCAGGGTTTGGAGATGAAGTGGAGGACACAGAGGATGGATGTAGGGCTCTCATCCTCTTCCTTTTGTTCCTCTTTTTTCCTCAGTGAACCTGTGTGTGTGTGTGTGTGTGTGTGTGTTTGTATGTCAGCTATCAGGCTCCTGGTGGCAGGCTGCTAGTGTCTGAAATGTCAGGCGTTGAGGGCGAGATCAGGCTCGTCTGCTTGTCACAAGGACACATTGATGACGGCCAACACAACAGTGCTACATGCTGATCAACAGCAAGCCTGGTCGGAGCTCTAACAAAGAGTCTGGATGCTGAACAATAGCTCCATATCTGGAAACCCTAAGACAGATGTGCATTTTAGCTTTAACACTGAAGGAGAAATAAGATAACAAGGCTGAGTTTTGTTGTTGTTCACAGAAACTGTGTATCACAGGCGGTGGGTGTGATATTAGATGATGGTCAGATCTGCCACTGTGAGATACTGTAGAAGCAGATTAGACATTATCTCTTCCCTGAGTGCTTGAGAGCACCACAGTGTACTGGTAGCTGCCCTGCTTGTCAGGCGCATTCAGCTCAGCTCAATATTTCTGTAACGTAAATAAAACGGTCATAAAGCAGCAATGTGAATACTGTCAGCCATTAAGAGCTGCTCACACAGACTGTTTCTCAGTGTACTCTCTACTGTAACTGTGTGTTTTTACCTTCATAAAGTCCTGTGAGGCATAATCCTGTCAGCTACTCAGGATTTTGTTTTACTAAAATGCCTTCTAAATGAAGGATCCACCTTTCAGACGTCTCTCTGGTTAGACTGATTTAGCAAGCAAATATAATCACGTTAGTTGTTTGGTTGAAGCCTTACTGCCTCTGTTGTGCAGCATTTTTGCAGGTCCCCATTAAAATCCATGCCTAACACACCGTGGCCCCTGCTATGGATTTTACTTGTCTCATCATGCAATAATTTGATAGTATCTCATCCTTTTGTGCGTGTTTTGATTTAAACTGACGATAACCTGATCACCACAAGAAAGATGGAAAGATTATGTAATTGTAGTTTAATTTGCACCAGGTTAGTCATAGTCTAGTGTCTCTATAAGCTGGTCTGCGAGTGTGTTCTGGACAGTGTGCTGCTTTGTGTGAGACTCGGTGCTGGCTGCTGTGATGCACTGATCCAGTCCAGCACCCTTCAGAACAATTGGCCAGCCGTGGAACAGGGCCCACTGTTTTGACAGCCACTGCCTGCAGTGTCACAGCATATTACACTCCCATTAGGTGGTCAGAAAGGAGCAATATCTGCTTCCTTGGACGTGGACGGTTCTCTATTTGAAGAAGTAATACTGGGTAAGAATAACACAAAACACAAAGCGCTCTCATTAGTAATCATGAAGATGATGGACAAGGGATAAAGGCCCGTCAGTCAAAATGAGCAGAATAATCAGAAGGCGATCTGAAGCTGTGAAAACCAAACGTGGTTTGAATGTGCAGGTGTGCAGGTGATGAGTCAACATAATACCTCTGCCAGTTCCTTTCATCAAGATTACATGTTGCTCAAGGACTGATAAATTGCTTGGCTACAGGGGTTTACAAAGCTTAGTCATCAGTGACCCTTTAAACTGGGGGATATGGCTTTATTTTTAGTAACATGAGGCACAGTGGGATTCGGCTGATCCTCGAAGGTAGACTGGAGGGCTACGGAGTTAGGCTTTCAGAACTTATAAAACTGCTTTTGACTACAGACTGCTTCTAAATTCAATACATTGTGTTTTCTATTTTGAAAAAGTTAGTTCTTAAATAGGAATGATGGCCATCAAGTAATTAGCCAGTGACACTTTAATACAAACTTTTGGCAAAGGCAGGAGGTTACTGAGCTAAATGTGTAGTGAAATTCTAGTAATTTTAGTACCCATTGTGTTTAGTTGACACTTGTTTTACATGCTCTTTGTCTGGGGTCCCACAGACCCTCAGCTGGGTGGTGGCAGTGTATAAGAATAATAATTGCAAAATCAACCCTTTTCTCTAAAGCGGCTCATTGATATTTTGATAATTATATATTAAATTACAATATAAAAACAATGTGACAATGTGAAAGCAGTAGCTCGAAGTGATTATCAATTATAACCTGAATCTGCAGCTCCCCTCGACTTTATGTAGAATTATAGCAAGTTTTCAGATCAATGCTCTCATAGTGTTTTAATAAGGCTGTAACTCTGAATACAGAGTTAGCGACAAGCTGGTTAACATAGTGGAGTATTTAGCAGCTAAAGAACCAGATATCAGGAGTTGGAAGAGACAAAAACAACACTAAAAGAGAGAGAATAACATTCACAAGGTGACCAGAAACATGACTTCAAATAGTTATTGTTACCTTTTTTTCTGGCCCAATCAAAACTCAACATGTAGATAAGTATTAAAGTGGTAACTCTTTCCCTTTGCTTGCAAACAGAAAATACCATAAAGCCAAATAAGGAGATATTTCATGTTGTAAATTTCATGTTTGCCTAAAAGTCATTCACAAACAAAGAAATAGAGTGTTCTCTATTCTACATACAGTAGAGATGTTAGTTATTACTGGGGGGACAGCCATCTCCCTAATAGTCTCTAAACAGTTCATTTTCTATAGTAGAACTTCCAAAACTGTTCAAAATCATGTTTATAAGTCATGACGTATCAAACTTATTAAACAATGTTAAACATGTTTTTGAGCTGGTAAAGAGGACCCAGAAAACAAACAAACTACATATGCAAAGATTAATTCAGCTGGTATGTAGCATTTATCTTAATTTGTCTAGATTCAATGTGAATATATGACCATTAAATGGCAAGAAAAATACCCAAATATGATTGTAATATTTATCTAAGATTTAATTTAAGTGAAGTTATTTACTTCAGTGTATCATAGTGGAATATAATTCATCACCGAGCATCCAGGAAGTTACACACTCCATAAAATAACCAGGAGTCCCAAACATTATGTTCTGTCGTCGCCAGCAGTCATGAACAGCAGCACCATTAAAATGGATGGTAAGCTCAGAGCCAAACAGTATAAAGGAGAAAGCAATTTCCAAATCCCGGTTTTATTATACTGCCAACTGTCTCACACCTCCGAACGTATTGGGTTTTGTTGGCACCAACACTGTCAGCAATGACCTTCAACTATCCTGAGCTCATGAATACAGCATGGCAGAGTTGCAGATGCTCCCAGTCAAGACTTTTTTCAGACTAACTTCACTCGGTGTACTTTCTCTCCTTGTGTTCAGTCACAGCGCCCTTTTTCATCAGGGCTTCATTGCCGGGCGCAGCCAACTGGTGGGTGCAGGTGTGGATAATTAGTGTTTGATTAAAAAGGTTTAATTCAAGATGACCGACACAGCCAACACTGCCCACAACTTTGCCACCCAATAAAGGCTCTTAAAACTGACTGAGTTTATTTGCTGTGTGTGCAATCTGGGTAGTGAAAGTTTTCAAGTTTTCAAGTTTTCTGCAAATTTCTTTAACATCAAGCAAATGTGTGATTTCAACCACACTGGCAGTGGGATGGAAATGTCATCTGGTCCAGACATAAACATCTCAATACGTACTAGATTACATTTAGTACAGACGTTCGTGGTCCCCCGAGGATGAAGCTGACCAGCTTATATGTGATCCCCAGAATTTTCCTCTAGCGCCAACATTACATTCTTGGCTTTTACTGAAATGTTTTGATGACTGTTGGATGGATTCCCATGAATGAAGACATTCACGTTTCCTAGAGGATGAATTGTAAGTGGCCCCTTATCTATTCCCCTAGCACCATCATTAGGTCAAAATTTGTCCAAAACTTTGATGCTTTTATGATTAAATACCTGTAAAATGAATGACATTCAGCCTCAGCTGTTTGTGTTTAGTGCTAATCAACAGATGTTGATCTAAACTAAGGTTGTGAACACGGGCTGTGTCCGAAGTCACCCTCATTCATTCATATTATAGATATATTTTATATTAGATATTTCCTATATGAGAAACACTCAATATCAATATTGAGCAGTAAATTGAGATTTCAGACACTTACTTCATGCTTTTGCATCAGTTGTTTTGTCACACAACAGCAATTTTCACATTTATAAAATATGTTGTATTGTTGTATTTTCAGCAGAAAATAGGCAACATGAATGCTCCTTTTTTGGTTCCTATGCACTATATAATAAATAAAGAGTGATTTCAGACACAGACATGCTAAATCATCATGTTAGCATTGTGACTGTGAGCATGCTGACATTAGCATTTAGCTCAAGCCTCATAAAGCCACTAGCATCGCTGTAGACTT